CAAATGAAATTGCATCATCATAATAAATCACATGAATATTTAATACACAATCACATGATCTACCAGTAATTTTTCCACCAGTTAAAATTTAGAAATTCTCTTTAAATCTTAAAAACTATTTATCATAATAATTATGATACTGTATGGTAGTATAAACCAACTTAATTAAAAAAAAAGTCAGAATTATTACAGTTCTAATTATACTATGACTATAGCTCCCTGCCATGTTTAATGTTAACTTGTTTTTATACAAGATTTTCTTCTTCTTTATTTTATGAAAAAGTGCGGTCTCTGAAATCCAAATTGATTTTCCAAATAGGCAGGCAGTAATTTCATGGAATAAGGAACTGAAGGTATAAAACTAGTATTAATCTTTTTAATAAGTATAACTTAAACGTAAGGATGCTATAGAATATTGAGACAATAAAAGCGATTATTTTTGTTTCTTTAAAGATTCGGTCCGGTTGCATACTAAAATGTCAAAATAAGAAGAAACCTTTTTTTTTTTTTATTTTGTTTATCACATCTTCAAAAAAAATTGTTTTATGATTATCAAAATATTTAATTAATTTTTCTTTTATTGGATATTCCTTTATTCGTTAATTTAGAATATAATTATTGATATCTGCTATAGAATCAATTTTTTGAATATTCATTTTATCAAAATTTTGAATATTCCTGCCATTATATCCAATTTATGTCTTTCTCAGAGTATTGATTTTTTGTTTATTCGACACTTTGATAAATCCCAATTCAGTACTATTTACCTCAAAGGCGGTCATATTTTGATCCTGGAGTTGAGTTACGAACGTCAATTACGTGAAGTATTTAGGTTTATGAACCTCTGAAGAAATTCTGATCGTGCTTATTGCACAAGCGGTCGTGAAAACGAAATAATTAAACTACAGGTTACTTTGATCTTGCTTTGTTTTATACTTTATTTTTACTTTATCAATAAAACTTTGAATTTTTGAGATTCCACGGCGTTATATATGTAATTCTGGCCCTGAAGAGACACGTAGAGCTAATAGTAAATGAGTACAAGTCCTTTGTTACCTATTTACAGTTATATGTCCTTCCTGCCTTACAGCGCAATCCTGGTATTTAAATATACCTTAAATATAATAAGGCTAGGAAATGAAAGCCGCTGTAATTTTGAGTGAATGATATTTTTAATTTGATCAACAATCTATAAAATTGTATGTGAAGTAAAATGCCAATTTTTTTTAGAAATTGCATGAAAAAAAAATTTCATAATATATTGAGATATAAGAGTCAAAATATAATAATATTATATATTTTTATATATAACAAATAATGTAGTATAACGACTGTGACGACGTGCGAGGATCAACGGAAATTTTTACTTGACCTTCATTACTTTTGCATTAAACCATAAAAGTATAATGTCCCTTGCTGCGCAGCGTTTTGGACGATAACAAAATACTAATTAATATTGATTCATTTGAAATAGTAATAGTTATTGCATCAGTCAGACAAGAACATGCTGATATTTTAAAAATAGTATATAAAAAGCATGATTTTTATGACGTAAAAACTTAAAATAATACATTTAATTTCAGCCGGAACTAGTCTGAAGTTCAGGATTAGTAATACCCCATTTTTCATCGAAAAATTTTCAGATTAATTGAGAAATAAAAATTTTTTAATTTATTAAACATTAATATTGTACAAAAAATTTTATACCTTCAAAAAAGAATCATTTTCTTGTTACGTTAAATTAAAATTTTATCCTCAAAAATGATTGTAAATGTGATCAATTCTTGAGGTCTAAGAAACTAATTTCTTTAATATATCTGAGGTAACATATTACTCATAAGCAAGTAAGTCTTACTTCATAAATATATTGTAAATTAAAAATCTCTTTATATATATAATTTACTACTCATAATTATATTTCCAACTCAATATATTTTAAGATAAGAAAGAGAAATGTATTCTGCTAATACATCTCGTACAATTATACTGATCAATTAGTTTATTTAAATCACTTTTTCACGCATGTAATATATATCTCTCTGGTCTCTGCCAAATTTGTATTAAAAATATGCAAATTAATAACATGAATTTAGTTAAAAGATCCATAGATTGTATACAAATCAAAAATCTAACGCTGTAAAAATATTACGGAGACGCGCCAGATGTGGGATCCTACATCAACATGAAATCTCGTATCAGAAAATATATAGAGACATTGTTTAATCACAAAAGAGAATTCCTAATAGTACGCAAATAAAATATTTCCATCGAATGAGAACATTAATATTAAATCAAAGAGAAGCTACTTTAAGTTTTATTAAGAAAGAAGATACAAATATATACAAGGACTTTTATCCGTTTTTATTTATAAGAAACTGGATTTATTTTTGGATATACAAAGGTTGTAGATGTGGGTTACCAGTTGCT